GCCAGGCGCGGCCATAGCGCGGGACGCGACGCCAGCGCCGCCTATCGGCAACGCCAGAGAACTAAGGTCGGTGAGAGCACGGATTTTGATGGGTGATAGCGCAGTGTGAAAAAATAGGAAAGTTACATGAAAATGTCGCTATACTACGGTATAGTTCACCATCTGAGCGACATATTTATGCATTTTTTATCCATGGCGGATAAAAATTGGACCTGGGATCTGGCCATGGAAGAAAAAAATGTTGGTCAGTGTAAGCACGGATTTTCGTGGAAATGAGCACAGTGTGAAAAAATAGGGTAGTTACATAAAAATGTCGCTATACTACGCTGTAGATTACCATCTGAGCAACATATTTATGCATTCTTTATCCATAGCGGATAAAAATTGGACCTGGGATCTGGCCATGGAAGAAAAAAATATTGGTCAGTGTATGCACGGATTTTCGTGGAAACTAGCACAGTATGAAAAAATAGGCAGCTTACATAAAAATGTCGCTATACTACGCTGTAGCTCACTAACTGAGCAACACATCTCTGCACTTTTTATCCATAGGAGAGAAAAATTCGACCCGGGATGGGGACATGGAAGAAAAAAATATTTGCACCACCAAATGAAATTAAAATACATCACTCCCGTTATATTTGTATTGAGTCTTTCATGAAACAATTTCGCTATACTACGGCAAACAGCATGACGTCTCGCATATATTGAGACATATTTTGACAATGCAATGTAGGTATAATACAATTTGGAATGTTCATAAACATTTTATCTTCTCCTGCCAAATCGCGGTGCCAATTCTCCCCAAATATTGGTAAAAAATACGTCAGGGTAAACGCATATTACTGAATTTAATTGCATTATATCGCATTTTTCAGTTTATCATTAAGTCTCCACACAGGGACGTTTTCATCTGAAGTTTGGCCGCCGGAGCCACCGCGAGGCCTAGTTGCACGAGTAGTCGATAGTCGGCGCCACCGTCGCGCTCGGCCGCAGCCAGTATACTGCCAAAAATGGAGCTATTATGATATCGCTCGTTGGTAACTAAGTGTGGCGTGCTTCATAAATGATCGCCGCATAGAGAAACAACCGTTTAATGAAGAAAATGACTTATATTTTACTCATAATAACAATCTGAACCCCAATGTCCGCTTCTATATGGAGTTTGGCGCATAACGGTTACAGGTCCGGCCCGTACCGACATTGACTCACGACGAGTCTACTGAGTCATACAGAGTCATGGGGAGTCATCCAGAGTCAACGGATTTCATGGGAGTGAACATAGGTGTCGAGGAGTCCTGGGGAGTCCGTGAAGTCCCCCCGAGTCCCTCGAGTGCCGACAGTGAGAATGAGCTCCGTTGGCGGGTAAAGACGCTTGTTATCCGGCTCCCGCGCCGCTGCAGCTGCGGCCGACAGGAAGGACGGCAGATAGCCGGGGCAGTACCACCGAGTCCCAGAGCCGCAGGCAGGATGGTGCGGTGGACCCGGCGACGGTCCGGGGAGGGGGGCGGGATGGGACAGCTATCTGCTCGGCCGAACGGCGCAGTTTGGAGTGGGCGTCGGTGCCGGTGGGTCCGGGTGAGGTCACTGGAGAGGTCGGTTGGTCCGGGTCAGGTCACTGGAGAGGTCGGTGGGACTGGGTCATGTCACAGGAGAGGTCGGCGGGTCGGCTCATGTCTCGTCTCACCCCCCCCCCCGTGCCGCACACGGCGGTACCTTGCCGTCGCGCGGTGTCCCGTCTCTCCCCCCCGCCCCCCGGGCCCGCCGCCCCCTCTCGACGGTAGCGACGCGTCGCACGCGACACGGCTGACCAGACGGCGGTAGGGCGGCTCGGCGGCGGTGATCGGCGCCGGGCCGGAGAGGTCACTGGAGAGGTCGGTGGGTCTGGGTGAGGTCACTGTAGAGGTCGGTAAGTCCGGGTCAGGTCACTGGAGAGGTCGGCGGGTCCGGCTCATGTCTCGTCTCATCTCCCCCCCCCCCCATGCCGTATGTACGGAGCACAATGCACATATAGACCTCCATATCCAGAGTTGTTTTGAGCCGCCCTGTCCCATGGGGCCAGGTCCGCGGGTGTTTTACCGCCGTGTCAGACGGATTATTGTTTGAGTCGCCACCTGAAGGCCTGTCATTTGATTTAGGCACATATTGCTACGTTTGTTGACACTGCTTTGATAGACAGTAGGTTCGTTCAGTATCCGCGATTTATCACGCTCGAGAACACTGTCCAGCCGTCGGTAAACCGTTGTCACCGTGCCGGTGGTACCGCCGTGGTGACGTCACGTGTGTTGTGACGTCACGTGTGTTGTGACGTCAGACGTGACGTCACGCTGGCTCACACCGCTGCGCTGTTGTGTTGTAGTTTCAGTTTAGACCAGAGAGTGGTTGGAGCCAGCTAAGAGGGTGTCTGGTCCAGGCGATATCGGACCTCGCCCGTCACTGTGTCGGACCGTCGGTGGTCCGGTCGGCTGTGGTTCGTTTGGACCAGATTTTTTCCGGTTCGATGTCGTCCATTTTTGTGATATCACCGAACTGATGGCGATTGAATTACATTATTGATGGCTTAGTAATTTTATTCAAGAATCTGTGTTCAGGCCTCCTGTTAGTACATGAGAGCCTAAGGAGGGAGGTATCGAATACGCAATTTTACTGAAATGGCATTCGCAAGTGTTTAACCCTATTCCTGGCGGGCTCCGCCGGGACAAGAAACTGGCGGGGGGGGGGCCGATTCGGCCCCCCCCTGAGATCTCGAGAACGAAGCAAGATAGCGACAAGCGGTAAACGGCATCGGATACGCACGGCCAAGATCTACAATTTTTACAAAGGTCATTTTCAGGTCAGGTCAAAGGTGACGTCACAGGGGTCGAAAAAGTCAAAATGGCGGCACTAGATATGGAGAGAGTTTTTCTCGAATAACTTTCGAATTAGTCAAGATAGGAACAAACTAAGGGCATCATCGTGATCCTCTCGTCAATCCGCATCAAATGATATATATGTTGACCTCGAAAGGTCAAGGTCAAAGGTTGACCTCAGGTCACGTGACCTCGAGGTCATCATGTATATCATTCGATGCGTCTTGACGAGTTGAACACAATGAGACCATCCACGCGTCTGTATCTTGTTCCTGTACGGAGTTATTGGCCAAAAACCTTTGGTGACCTTTGATGACGTCACATGACCTCACAGCTGCCCAACAGCAAAACAGACCTCAAGGTAGTGAAGGTTGATCGTATATGAAGTCATGTATGGTATATGGGGCCATTCCGACCCGTTTTAGTGGTAAAAACAGGGAGTTGATTTTTCCCCCATTGACTTATAATGGGGAGGTCGCGAAATTGACCTGACCTTAGGTCACCGATATCAAAATTCCGAGATATACAAATTGCACATACTGGTACCCTAACTAAACCCTGAAGAGAAGAAATTGATCGGTCAAAAACTCTAGCTCTGGCGTGATTGCAAACTTTTCTGAGGTAGCGTCACCAAACCGCCTCTGGTGACCTGACCTGAGGTCAGATCAACTCAAAATTTTCAGACATGTTGCGTAGAAGCCTTTTAGGAAAAGTCAGAAAGTTTGAGCTTCCTAGCTCAACGCGTTTGGGAGATATATCCAAAAAACCTCAGGGGGGGCTCCTGAGGCCCCCCCCCCCGCCAGGAATAGGGTTAACCCGCGCCGTGCTGGTGGCCTGAACTTTCCGCCGAGTGCTGGGGGGGGGGGGGGCGTTTTCACGCCCCCCGTCTAACTCGGCTCCTGGGCCACGTATCGACACGCGGTAAGCGGCAATCGAAAGAGCGTCAAAAATAAGGACGAAAACACTTCGGTCATTTTTTGGGTCAGGTCAAAGGTCAGGTCACCAGAGGTCACCAAAGGTAAAATGTTGACTATTTCAACATTTTGGAAACTGCCAACGGCTATCTCGGGAACCGATAGAGCTACAGCGCCGCGGAAAAGCGCATTCGATAGCCCGTTTACAGACCTTTCTGAATAATGTTCTCAGATTTGACCTCAGGTCAACGGTTTAGCCTCCAGAGGGCAAAAACTCCAAAAATAGCCGTTTTTACGAAAAACGTTTTTTCGTCAATTACTTTTGACTCATAAGCGCCATGACATTATTTTTGCCAGCATCGTGTTCCTCTCGTCGAGACGCGTCGAATGAACTATTTGTTGACCTTGAAAGGTCATTTTGAAAATTTGACCTCAGGTCAAGGTCATGACCTGACCGAAAAGGGTCATGTTGCATATCAGTCGATCCGTATCGTCGAGCTGAACACATCTGACGTGTTTTCACCGCTCTAGCACGTCTCTATCAAAAGTTATAGCCAAAAAACTGCTGGCGACCGTTCATGACCTGAGATGACCTCAGGGGCACACAGAGGGGTCACAGGTGCATTTTTCCTATTCAGTGTGTCATGTTTACCTATGAACCGATGTTTGAGAGCGTTTTGAACGATATTCGTCCAAAAGAGGCGCATTTCAATTTTCTCCCGTTGACTTATAATGGAGAGGTCGCAAAATTGACCTGACCTTAGGTCACAGATATCAAAAATCCGAGATATACATTGTATACATACTATTACTCATATCAATCGCTAAAAGTTTCAAAGTGATCGTTCAGTCGGTGTAGCTATAGCGAGCCTTTGAACTTTTTCTGAGGTAAGGTCACTTGACGTGACCTGGTGACCTGACCTTGAACGGCCTAGGTCTGAAATTTTCACAACATGTGCGGAAATGATGTAGAAACACGTGTACTAAAAACGGCGGCGCTGCGCGCCGCCGTTTTTTGAGATATTCGCGAAAAACCTGAGGGGGGGCGTAAAAACGCCCCCCCCAGCACGGCGCGGGTTTTATTGCCACAACCAACCATAATAAACGATGTAGGATGTTATTATTGTAATCGTCATGCATTCTACATATATGCATCATCTTCCATTGTATTGTATATCTATTTAGCATTGACATTCAGTAAGTTTGTACCTACTTTGTTGTCATGGGTAAGCGCCGTCAAATCGACCACCTGGGCTGGATGTACTGCCGGCTGAAACTGCAAGCTGCATGCCAGGGGAGGGGGAGCCTGCACACTGACCGACTCGTGTTGTCACGTTACCATGGTAGCTCTGATGACGTCATCAAATTATTGAGCCCCGCCACCAGGTTAATGGGTTAGTTCCAAGGCCATGCTAGTTCGGCCTCATGACAAAGCGACACAGGGGCGGCACTGCGCAGTGTCAGCGCTGTGACCTCGTACAGAGAGTGGAGGACTAGGACGAAAGGTGTGCTGAGGAAAGTAAGGTAAGCGATTCAAGTTGAGCCCGTGCCCCGGACTGGGGTCCTAGATTTAAGGTTTCAACGCCCTGCTGGTGCGGTGCTTTGACTTCAAACTCGCGCCCCGCTCACTCGCTGGGGGGGGGGGGGGCGGGGGCTGGATTTGCTCGCAATGTTGGTACGGTGTTATAACCCTCGCCGGCCGAGGAGGGGGGGGGGGCTGCCCAAGATACCTATAAGAAACAGGTAGATCCGATGTTTGAAAGTAAAGCCCCAGTCACGAATTTGACGCACCTGTGACATTTCCTGACACCCACGTGACTATGGTAGGGGAGAACGGGGTCAATTGTAACATTTTTTGCATTTTATCATCTGGTGCAAACACGTTCGCAGTTATAAAGCTCTTTTCTTTATTTTCAGAAACTATGATGTTTTGTCTTTAAAATGAAGTTAAAACATTTGCGAAATAACTTCTTATTCTGGTCAAAATTGTGGTCCGAAAAAGTCAATTCAGCTGTTACAATTCACCCCAGATACGGGGTCAAAAGTAACACCACCCGGGGACAATTGTAACATGTTAACTTTCAGGCTACAGCAACACATTTTTTTCCAAAACTTTGATTTAACAAAAGTATTGAACACTTGTTCATCTTCCCAGACTTGGTAGGTACGGTTCTTCTTAGGAAAAAAAGGCTTAAAAATCTCGCACTTATGCATGGGCTTGGATGGACCTCCTCTCCCTTGGTTTTTCGCAAATACATCGCGTAAAAAGCTGCCAATTGCGACAAAATTTACAGTTCTCTTAATTCTTCTAGCAATGTTTCATCTCCCTTGAAAATTTGACGACTTTGACATAATGGCCACTGACCTATAACCTGTTACATTTGACCCCTGCAAAAATGTTACAATTGTCCCCATCGCGCCTTGATATATTTTAGACGAAACTGGCGCAAAAAAGATGTTGCATGTACAGCATTTAATGCTTTCAATTTATGGACAACAAGCCTGCCAACGCTTACACAAAGTCTGAAGTCGATATCATTTCAATGGCGGGAATGAGCTAATCAAATATAACGGTATAAGAATTTACAAAATGCTCTCAAAAACACATTACTGTGCACAGCCATCGACATACTCGGCACTCTCGCTTCAAACTCCGTTGAGAAAGGCAGTATAGAATTACGCATTTTCGGTCTTAACCCTATTCCTGGCGGGCTCCGCCGGGACAAGAAACTGGCGGGGGGGGGCCGATTCGGCCCCCCCCCCCTGAGATCTCGAGAACGAAGCAAGATAGCGACAAGCGGTAAACGGCATCGGATACGCACGGCCAAGATCTACAATTTTTACGAAGGTCATTTTCAGGTCAGGTCAAAGATGACGTCACAGGGGTCGAAAAAGTCAAAATGGCGGCACTAGATATGGAGAGAGTTTTTCTCGAATAACTTTCGAATTAGTCAAGATAGGAACAAACTAAGGGCATCATCGTGATCCTCTCGTCAATCCGCATCGAATGATATATATGTTGACCTCGAAAGGTCAAGGTCAAAGGTTGACCTCAGGTCACGTGACCTCGAGGTCATCATGTATATCATTCGATGCGTCTTGACGAGCTGAACACAATGAGACCATTCACGCGTCTGTATCTTGTTCCTGTACGGAGTTATTGGCCAAAAACCTTTGGTGACCTTTGATGACGTCACATGACCTCACAGCTGCCCAACAGCAAAACAGACCTCAAGGTAGTGAAGGTTGATCGTATATGAAGTCATGTATGGTATATGGGGCCATTCCGACCCGTTTTAGTGGTAAAAACAGGGAGTTGATTTTTCCCCCATTGACTTATAATGGGGAGGTCGCGAAATTGACCTGACCTTAGGTCACCGATATCAAAATTCCGAGATATACAAATTGCACATACTGGTACCCTAACTAAACCCTGAAGAGAAGAAATTGATCGGTCAAAAACTCTAGCTCTGGCGTGATTGCAAACTTTTCTGAGGTAGCGTCACCAAACCGCCTCTGGTGACCTGACCTGAGGTCAGATCAACTCAAATTTTTCAGACATGTTGCGTAGAAGCCTTTTAGGAAAAGTCAGAAAATTTGAGCTTCCTAGCTCAACGCGTTTGGGAGATATAACCAAAAAACCTCAGGGGGGGGGGCTCCTGAGGCCCCCCCCGCCAGGAATAGGGTTAACATCAGCTCATTCTATTGGTAAGTTTATGAGTTATTAACACTGTTACAATTGCCCCGTGTTACATTTGACCCCGCTCTCCCCTATTAACTTTTGTGTTTTGCGATGTTTTGACCTTATTTAACCCTCGCCCTGGCAGGGGGGGGGGGGTCGATGCGACCCCCCCCTAAGGTTTTTCGAAGATAGCGTAAAAACGTCGGCGCGCAGCGCCGCCAAATTTGGCACAGCCTATGGGGCAACCTTTTTACATATGACCTGAAAATTTCAGGTCCAAGTGACCTTGGGTCAGGTCACCAGGTCAGAAAACCGGTACAAGGTCATGGTCAAATTTCAATTTTCTTTTTGCACCTGTCCAACTCACAGTTTTTGACTGATTTCCTTCAAACTTTCAGGATGTGCTAAGTTCATCGAGTTGTATAACATATAGTCCGGCTTTTTTGAGGTCACTGACCTGAGGTCAGTTAGAGGTCATTACTTCGTAATGTTAAGCCTAAGGGAAAATACTAAATTCGGAAAATACTGGAGATATCCGCTTCGTTCTATCACTTTTGTGCTTCGAAACCACGGTACTTAACAGCAGGTCACTTGGTGCTTCTTTGTTTGGTGTACTTATACATGGGTCAGGTCAAATGAGGTCAACTGAGGTCAAATGACGTTTTTGCCAATAACTTGGCACATAATGACGCTAGAGCTTCAAAAATGGTATCATTGTGTTCCTGGTGATCAGCCGAATCGAATGATATGCGATATGATGCAATTTGGTTAAGTTGAACTTAATTTATTAATTTAAGTTTACTTAAAATTTAAGAAAAACTTTAAGTACACTTAAGCAAGCTTAACCCTCGCCCTGGCAGGGCATTTTTCATAACACGGCCTGGCAGGGGGGGGGGTCTATGCGACCCCCCCCTCGCGATTGGCTCCTATAGCACCTAGAAACACCAAATTTGGTAGGTAGGTGGGCCTCCTGGAGTTCTCGCCCCTGTGCAAATTTGGTTGCTCTAGGTCAATATTTAGGGGGGTTTTGGGGGGTATAAATGTAAAAAAATTTAAAAATTTTAAGTCAACTTAAATTAATAAATTAAGTTAAAGTTAACCAAATTGCATCATATTGCATATCATTCGATTCGGCTGATCACCAGGAACACAATGATGCCATTTTTTAAGCTCTAGCGTCATTATGTGCCAAGTTATTGGCAAAAACGTCATTTGACCTCAGTTGACCTCATTTGACCTGACCCATGGCTAAGTACACCAAACAAAGAAGCACCAAGTGACCTGCTGTTCAGTACTGTGGTTTAAAAGCACAAAAGTGATAGAACGAAGCGGAAATCTCCAGTATTTTCCGAATTTAGTATTTTCCCATAGGCTTAACATTATGACGTAATGATCTCTAACTGACCTCAGGTCAGTGACCTCAAAAAACCCGAACTATATGTTATACAACTCGGTGAACTTAGCACATCCTGAAAGTTTGAAGGAAATCAGTGCAAAACTGTGAGTTGGACAGGTGCAAATAGAAAATTGAAATTTGACTATGACCTTGTACCGGTTTTTCTGACCTGGTGACCTGACCCAAGGTCACCCGGACCTGAAATTTTCAGGTCATATGTAAAAAGGTTGCCCCATAGGCTGTGCCAAATTTGGCGGCGCTGCGCGCCGCGTTTTTACGCTATCTTCGAAAAACCTTAGGGGGGGGGGGTCGCATCGACCCCCCCTGCCAGGGCGAGGGTTAAGATAGAGCAAAAAGAAAAGTACCAGTGAACTCAGCACGTCAAGGCGCGTCGAATGATATACTTTTAAAGTATTAAAAGCTCAAAATGTATGATTAATGTTGTTTAACCCTCGCCCCGTTGGGGGGGGGGGCCATTTTGGCCCCCCCCCCTGTGGTTTTTCCTGAATAGCAAGAAAACGGCGGCGCGCAGCGCCGCCAAATTTTCAGTACCTTCCCGGGCATCAATTTGACACCTTCACACCAAATTTCAAGTCTTAGGTCACCTTAGGTCAGGAGTTATTGAGGTCAAACTGAGGTCATGTTCGAGCAAAAATGAGCAAAAAACATGCAATCTTGAAACGCTCACCAAATCTACAGTTATCAAGCAATTTCAAAGTTCTTTATATGGTCTAGTAGACAAAAAGCGGCGCTACAAAACTGCTATCTCGGATTTTCAAAATTTTTGGTTTTTGACCAAAAAAAATTCAAAAAATTGATTTTTTTAGAAAAACTTTGAAAAAATCCAAAATTTTTCCGAATTTCGAAAAAAACCGGAATATATGTGATAGTCCCAGCGCTCTTCTATATACATACCAAATTTCAAATCGATATCTCGTTTTTTGGCCAAGTTATAGCGAAAAAACTGTTCAAAAATGATGACGTCAAATTTTTGAACTCAATTTTTAGCAATTCTAGACCACCTACGGCAAAACAAAGACCACCATTGAACTCCCCGTGACGAGCTGCATCGATTCGATACCCATTTTATGCAAAAATATTAACTTTGAAATTTGACCTAATTTGACCTGACCTTGACCTGACCTTGACCTGACCTTGACCAAAACGTGATCTAAGCTGGCCCCAAAGGCTGCCTGACCCATATAATCGCATTTGTCATGTAAAATGGACCATAAAACATGTATCACACGACACTTTCATATTGTGACCCCCCCGTGACCTGACCTCTGTGACCTGACCTGGTATCAGTGACCTCAAATAGCAAAATATGTGTTTGAAGAACATTTCCCCATCGATGATTTTCAATGAAATGCATTTTACTCGATTTTACAACGCATTTCTTGAAGTGCCTGTAAACGGTGAAAATTGGACCTTTGACCTGACCTG